CTGACAAGAACCTGCACCAATCCGCCGCCATCTAAAGGTGGAAAGGACTGCAATGTACTTGGGCCAGCAGAAAAGAAAGTTTCTTGTAACGAACAGAAATGCCGTAAGTAGTTTAATCGCTACTTTCTGTATGCCGAGTATTATAGGAGGAAAATTTCTCAACTACAATGTACATAATCACAGTTACGTTTAAAAAAACCTGGCATCTCCGCTCTGCATCGATATTCCAAACTCGTCATAACATGGAATGGATATCTTCCAATGGATGAGTGATATAGTTCCCGAATTACCAATCGGCTGAGTTCAAATTTAAATGAGAGCAATAGTAATACACTGAACCGGGACGAATAAAACATTCATAACAAACACGTACAGACAAAAGACACACGAGCAGCATAATAGGGCAAAAGAAACGAGTCATCACGGCCTTACCTTCTCCTCAGTTTGCTTCTTTTTTAACCAATTGACAAATTAAAGCTTCCGTTCAAGTTTTCTTTGCTTGGATCTATTCTTATATGTCGTAAGGTTAGTAGCGATTCGCTAAAATGCAAGTAAGTTTCTGTACCTATACTTTACCAACATAGGCACTTTCCTGTGCCCGTAATTGAAATAAGCAAGGATAAAGGCAGCATTATTTTTGTCCTGTAGCGATTGATGGTGGATACAGTGAGTGGTCTGAGTCTGAGTGCAGTGTGACATGTGGAGAAGGGAAAAAATGCTGACAAGAACCTGCACCAATCCTCCGCCATCCTATGGTGGAAAGGACTGCAGTGGGTTAGGGCCAGCTGAAAAGACTGTTCTGTGTAACGATGGAGATTGCCGTAAGTATTTTTACTGTCAACTTGAGTCTCCTATGGTTAATGTAGCTTTAGCAAAGGAACCCATCTGAACTTGCAGTTTTTGTCTTGTTGTGTCAATGTAGCGATGATGGTGGATACACAGATTGGTCTGAGTCTAAGTGCAGTGCTACATATGGAGGAGGGACAAAAACACTCAGAAGAACCTGCACCAATCCCCCACCATCTAACGGTGGAAAGGATTGCAGTGAACTGGGGCCAGCTGAAAGGAGAGTTTCAGGCAATGAAGTAGAGTGCCGTAAGTCTTTTGATTGCTGCTTTACGTGTGTTGTATTACATCGGAGAAATATTTTTTAACTACATGGCCACACTCACCTTAAGTAAAACCACCATATTCGCTCTGCATCGACATATGAAACGCCTGATACCATACACAAATTTTTGTCAGATTGTCTGTGTTTGATATATTTTCCATCAGTAGTCTTTAATAAGTAAAAGATAAAGTTTCCGAAATAAAACTCGGTTGATCATAAGTTCGACTTTGTTGTGAACAATATAAATATACGTATATGCACGATCCTTCGCAGTAAAGCACTATTTGAGCAATAGTGAAAATCAGACCTGAAAAAAATTTCAGGCCTGTACGGGATTCGAACCACTGACCTCTGCGATACTAGTGCAGCGCTCTACCAATTGAGCTAACAAGCCAACTGGGAGCAGGCCATCAAATTAATTCGACATAAACCCGTAGATGATAAATCAAACAACAACAAACATATGAAACATATGT